ATCAGGGTGGATCATTGCCATCGTCATAATCGGATCCTATTGCCCAAAACATCATCATAATTGGATCCTATTGCCCAAAACATCGTCATAATCGGATCCTATTGCCCAAAACATCGTCATAATTCGATCCTATTGCCCAAAACATCATCATAATTGGATCCTATTGCCCAAACATCATCATTGGATCCTATTGCCCAAAACATCATAATCGGATCCTATTGCCCAAAACATCATCATAACCAGATCCTATTGCCCAAAACATCATCATAATTGGATCCTATTGCCCAAACATCATCATAATTGGATCCTATTGCCCAAAACATCATAACCGGATCCTATTGCCCAAAACATCATCATAATCGGATCTATTGCCCAAAACATCGTCATAATCGGATCCTATTGCCCAAAACATCATCATAATTGGATCCTATTGCCCAAAACATCATAACCGGATCCTATTGCCCAAAACATCATCATAACCAGATCCTATTGCCCAAAACATCATCATAATTGGATCCTATTGCCCAAAGCATCATCATAACCAGATCCTATTGCCCAAAACATCATCATAATCGGATCCTATTGCCCAAAACATCATCATAATCGGATCCTATTGCCCAAAACATCATCATAATTGGATCTTATTGCCCAAAACATCATCATAACCAGATCCTATTGCCCAAAACATATTTACAAGACTAAGGTTATTGGTGATGGTAAGAAATATATTACGTTATGTTATGTTACGTTACACTGAGAGTAAGAATGTGATGAAGGATGATGTGTTTAGTGACCATCAGTGTAGAAGCAGTGTAAGACAGTGTAGTATTGAAGACCTGTGACTTCCTTATCATTAGTCACGTCAGGGTGTGTGTGTGTACCCTTCAAGGCTCAACCAATCACTCTGCAGGGAGAGATAATATTATGTTCACAATCGAGTGTTCGCTGAGTGGTCTGTTTACATGTGTTGAATTCATGATTAGAAAAATAATTATATATAAATTACAATTAGTTAGTACTTTCCTCCTTGTCAAAATTCTTCTTTCGAGTCATCATAATTTTAATAGATTCTTAATTGCTGGAAAGATTTTATTATTACTTGAGAATTAAATAAAAAAATATATAAAATATAAAATAATTATTGTTGATGCGTTTTTGTTATTACCTGAGAAAATAATATTAGTGGACATTATGAAAGTCGTCTTTCTTACACAAGGATAACAGTTTGTATGTTATTTAGGTTTTACTTCACAACAAAATAATACCAAGAATCCGACAAAGACAACATAAACATCAGTGAGACAATTAAAAGAGTTTCCCTTAGGATTTTGACTATTTAGAAAATTTATCCACTATAGAAAACGCGTTGCTGGTTACCTAGTGAATGAAAACGATTTTGTTTTTATCGTTTGTTTTTTATATAACAAAAATACAAAAAAATACCATTGAAAGGTATAAAAGAAGGTCATATTGTTGTTGTTTTGTTGTGCTATTCTCTTGTCGAAATAGTTCCGGCTTGTGTTGAAAAGATATAAATGACGCTACACATGTTCAATAAACTTTATATTATCTTGGTATATTAATTAAATCAAGATAGTTCAGTAAATAAGATACAAGTTGATGGTATTGTTGGGGTTTAGTAAATATTTGTGTATATTTGTCATTAATGTTTTTTTTTATGTAACACTGATAAGGATCCGCGCCAAAAATCCGTCCGTCTGAGGAAACTTTGCAACTCATATCATCATCATAATGTAGTTTATAATGAAGGTGTCAGTAGTATGCATGGTTTACCTGGGCCCTGATCTGACATTGGGTGCATCAGGAAAGAACAACACACCAGCTGAATCTGAGAGCTGACAGTAAGAGAGGGAGAGAGGGAGGCTGTCAGCGAATCCCACGCCCAGCCGATTGTGTCAACCTTCGTCACACTGAGCAACACCTGCAACTTTTTTTTGTTTTCGCCTGGCGTTTGTTCGCCACACATCCGCGTTCAGTGTCTTTTTTTTTTACCGTGAGTATTGTTACCATTCCCCTCCAACCCCTCCCTTCCTCTCTACCCCTCCCTTCCTCTTCCTCCTCTCATAGTCCTTCCCTTCTCTTCCTCTCTCCCCCTCTCTTCCTCTTTTCCTTCCTTCATCCTTTCCCACCTGTCCTGTCCCTCCTTTCCTTTCCCACCCATCCTCCATCCCCCTTCATCCCTCTCTCCTCCACCCCTCCCTTCCTCCTTTCCCTCCCCCTCCTTTCCCACACCCCTTCCTCCATCCCCCGTCACCTCCTCTCCTTTCTCACCCTCCACCTCCTCCTTTACCACCCACCCATCCTTCCTCCCCACTCACCCCTCTTCACCCCCTCACCCCTCCCCACTCCTCCCTCCCTCCACAACACTCGCGTATAAAAAATGAAACTGTCCCACACAAATGATGAACACAGGGTTGAGAGCCACACAAAGACTGACATTAATTAACGTAAAATTAAAATCTGAAATTAAATAAAGAATTGATGGCATAAGAGAGAGAGAGAGAGAGAGAGAGAGAGAGAGGGAAAGGGGGATAGAATGAAAAAAAGAACAGAAAAAGAGAGGCGTAAAATAGAGGGAATGAGAGTGTGTGTGATAAAGGGAAGTGAGACGTTGAAAGTAAGAGAGAGAGTGAGACAGAGTGAGAGAAACAAAAAGAAAATGAAAGACAGATAGAAGAAAATAGAGAAAGAAAGACAAAAAAGAAATAGATGGAGAGAGGGATAAAGAGAATCAGAAACAGGGAATAGAAAAAACAAGAGAGAAAGAGAGACGGAATTACCAAGTGTGACAGGCTCCCGGTAGAGCTCCACTGGGCCTTAAAATTGCCCGCCGTTTTCCACTCTTCCCACCTGTCAGACGTACGTTCACCTGGGCATCTAACTTACGACTTTGTGAACGGAAATGAGAGACAATGAAGCGAATAATTAATCGTAAAGAATAAAGATAATGAAGATAACAAAAATTAATAAAAGAATAATGATAATAGAAATTATAATAACGATAAGTGATAATGCCAGTAAAACAGACAAAAATAAGAGGAATAATAATAACAATAATAATAATATAACTACTAAGAATGGTAATAATTTTAAATACATTAGTAAATAAAGTGTTTAATTACCATCTACCTGCGCAGGTGTTCTCTAGTAGCCAGTGACATTACCTGACCTTTGAGTTTTAAGTGGCGTTAATTTCTTGCTACACGTATACCAAGGTGAGCGCTAAGGTAGTTGTGGTGATAGTATTAGTCCTTTGTGGTGGTAGTAGTAGTAGTTCTTGGTGGTTGTGGTGGACTGGTGGTGGTAGTAGTAGTAGTTCTTGATGGTGATAATTGTGGTAGGTGTAGTCCTTGGTGGTGGTAGTTGTGGTAGCGGTCCTTGGTGTTATTAGCCGGTTGCCGTGACGTGCTTACCATTATTATGACCGTGTTTTGTCACGGCATTTGATATTAACAGTGTGAGTGTTGAGTGTGGGGAGAGAAAGAGTGGATAACCTCTCTCTCTCTCTCTCTCTCTCTCTCTCTCTCTCGTCGTCTTCGCAAACTCTATACACCTCTCTTAACAAACAAAATTAAATATATATCCAGTTTAGAAAAAAAATAATAAATAAAACAAAATGCTCTTACTCAGTACATCATTATAACATTGTCAATAAATCTTTCAGTACATTCTAATGAAACTTACGTCAATATTCAAGTCTTCGGGGGTACTAAATCACAAAGGTTCGTACGTTAAAATATTTTCTATGGTTAAATGAAGATTGTAAAAGGTGTGGAGTATTGGATAGATCTGATGAGGCGCCACCACCCACCAGCCGTCCAGCAGATGTGAACAGGATATGAACTACCAGGCTACAATAACACTGGCTTCCTCCTCACACCGGATGCTGTGTCTGCCTCACCGCGCCATAGTAAGTTGAGGGTCGTTATATTTTTGATCTTACGTTTTAGCATTTAGTTTACTCCTGCTGTCTGGATGGTGTAAAGATATTTCATTTTCAGAAGAATTAGCAATGAAATCCAGAAATATATATTGAATGAGGCTAAAATAATCACAACAGAGAAGAAATTTGGCTGAAAAGGTGAAAAATCTCTTGACTATTGAAGTTTTTAATGTTTTGTTTTAATGTTTAGGTTGAGAAATATTCATTGTTGTTTTTATGTTTAATGTCAGATACGTGAGGCCCAGAGTCCCAGACGTAATGCAACTATTGAAATCTTTAGTTCGGCTTTTGTTTTGTTTTTTTGTATTTTCATAATCCTTTGTGTAACTATTGAATCGGATATTTCTTAATATATATGAAATGACTTTTTTAATATATATGAAATTACTCTTTAATATATATGAAATTATATATGTAACTATCTGAATATTTAGTTTTGCTTATTATAGTGTATTAATAATATATATAATACGTACAACGCTTTAGATGTTAGTCTAGAATAATTGTCTCCTAATTAATTACTGTAGTTGTGTCGACATTTTCATGATCCTTGCACCTGAGAGTATGACAGTGGACAAATTACTGCAAATCTTCACATAACTCATCCCAGCGTGTATTTACCATGTAGTTTATGTAACTTGTGAGGAACGTGAAAACAATGATGATATCGCCAAGCTGTGTGTGTGTGGATGGCCTTATGCTGGCGGTGATGCAGAACAGGCCGCGTCGGAGTTCCCTCAAGTGCATCGCCATATCACTCCGCGGGGCTGCTACTAGAGTGTGTAAAACGGCTTTAAGGACACACCTAACTACCTCATTTTAACTACAACACAAAATAACTCATAAAACAGCAAGAGAATTACACTGAGACTGTACCTTAACGAGGAACTGTCAATAGGAACCAGATAGGAGGTAGAATAAACTAATAATCCTCCTGACTCGGTACAATATGCATCACCCGGTGTGTATGTCGACGTGTAGCCTCGTATAGGTATCGATTATCCTCAATACCAGACCTCTGAGCTGTCACTAACGCTGCCTGTATAGATAACTGTGTTGAGGTGTATGGTGGACGCTCTGTTTATTGACCCGGACATAAAAACTGACTTATATATGTGTTTCGGTATGGGTATGAGACCAACTTTAAGACACTTGCGTTGTTGTGAAGATTTGCATTGTGTTAGTGAGTTGGAATATACACTGGAGGGATATGAAAGAAGGAGAAGGGTGATGTTGGTTAGTTTTAGGACAAATCCTATTACCGTGATCTAACCTTATGGGTAATTAGAACAAGAAAATGAGGACACTGAATTTTTATCTTTGATTATTTTTGTGATGGGAAATTGAACACCATGTCTGTTTTTTTAAGTATGAGGTTCTTTTTACTTTTATTTAAGGGGTTTGTGTGTATATTATTATATTGTAGATGGAATTTTGCTTTTGTTTCTGTTTTTTACTTCGAGAACGAGATTTTGTGTAGTGGGAAATTATGGTGGAATTTTCCTGGATATCGCGGCAAGGCTGGTGGGAGTTTACGGTGTTCAGGCCACACACGCATCAACGCACCGTTACAGTATTGCTGGATCAGTCAACACTGTGCGTCAGGGGAGGCCGCTGCGGGACAGTAGTGGCGTCACCCTCAGCCAACAAGGGACAGACAGACGGACAGACAGTCAGTCAGTCACAATACTGTCTGGTGTGTGGCTGTGTGGACCATGAGGCCTCACACCCTCACGCCGCTTAGTGTGGTGACAAGACCCAGGCTGGTGAAGTGTATTGAGTGATATCGACAAGTTGGAAAATAAATCAGTTACCATATTTAAATCCTTGGCATTTGAAAATCGATTATTTAATGATGAATGTTTTTTGTGATTAGCTGTGATGATTATAACCTATTTTATTATTCAGACATTTGTGATACCAGGAAAACCCAATTTATGAACCTATTCTGGATTATTACTTCATTTTAATGGAGTACTGTGGACATGGGTGAATCTAACATAACTCTTAGAAAACATTACCAATGCGTTTTAAACTCTTTGCTATGTACAAGTTATATTACGGTGAATTACTTGGTGAAAACAGCTTATAAATGTTCTCCATGGACATCTTTCGTCGTTTTCTTTGAGTGTTTGTTGTTGGTGGTTTTCTGCAAAGGTCAGGGGAGACTTGTGGATCCTCCCTCCCGGGCCTCTATGTGGAGGTTTGGCTTTAAAAATCCAGTAGAATTCGGGTGAGTATTTTTATAGATCTGTAAGAAATTTTGGTAAGGGTGAAGGAGACGGCTAACATTAGAAGCAGTTATTCAATTTTTTTCTTAATTTTTTCCACATTTTGTTTGAATGATAACTGATAACTTTCCTCCACTATTACCGAAATTATTCCCTGATGCTGTATAGATAAATTCTGTAAGGATCATGACATATATTGTGTTATTTTAGGTAATTGTTTAAGACAGTGCAGGGACAGATCCAGGAATATCAAAAGGGGGGTCCAAGAAGTTGTGGGTGGGGAAAGAGTGACGTGGTTCTTTAGGTGAAATAAACTGAGATGGAGATTCTTCAGGTGATCCTTTCTATCTCTGTTGACATATCCTTGTACTACATCGTTACCAACACCTGTGCAGTAGCCCCTGAGTTGCATATGTGGGAGTTTTCTATGTTTGTTTTTTTATGACAACACAGCAGGTGAGATGCCATACAGTAAAGAGGCACAATGGTAAGAATAAGGGTCCATGAAATTACTGAAGGAATTAGAACAGCCATCATAACACTATCAGAAATGAGTGACTTAAGAAAGAGACATTTTAGTTTAAAGACATATTCACAGCGATATGTCCGTTGTTCGTGGTAGCGTCATAAGGCCTACGTACTATACACTACGGTCCTTATTATCTACTTCAAGACAAATACACAAGTGCTACATATCACCATGAGCCATTACCAAAACCCTTGAATAAATAGGTAAACCAACTCTCATAGGCTGTAAAGTGTGATTAAACTAAGAATATTCGGTCAGTGTGAATAATTAATCTTTCTTTCAAAATAGGAAACAAAAGGCAGTGGATATTTTAGCTGTGACCTGCTAAGTTCCTACTAACACTATTTTACCGTGAGTGCGCTCTGATTGTCTAATGGTCCATTACTTGTGAACGAGTGAACTATATTTGACCGTGACTGGCGGCATTTGGCATTTATTTCGCCTTGAGTCGATCGTTGTGCAGCTATAAGCATACTTAACCATATTTATGTTGTGCTTGGAAACTACTAACAAAAATAAGTACAATTATCGTTTCGGTTTGTATGACATTTCTTCAGCTCATGATTACTTTCAGAGAATATCGCCAAAAAAAGGAAAATCATCGTATTTTTTCTAAGTTGGAAGCTGAAATTATGTTTTTTTCGATGGTTTTTGTTGTGTTTCGAACGAATCTGACCTTCATTTATACCACTAATCACGGTCACATATCATTCTTACATGCTTCGCCGGTAATGGACGATTAACCGACTAGAGCAGAGCGCACTCACGGCAAAATAGCGTTAGTAGGAACTTTGCCGGTCACGGTAAAATATACACTGCCAAAATAAAATAGTATCCCTGGGTAATCATGACATTTTCTTTGTTACGTATACCTAATAGAAAACTGATATATTGTTATGGCAAAAAAGACATATTAGTAGTCTAAAGGCGCTACTTCTATTTTCCTACATGCATAACAAACCATCTGCTGATGTGCAACGTCAAGTGTAGCCCCTCATTACAGATGTTCAGTAAAACTTTTCACGTCTTCAGTTAGCGTAGCCTCGTACGAGTGTCATGATATATAATTACGGGTACAATAAAGATCATTTTCTCTTTTTTTATCACCTGCTTCGTCACTTGTCATGCTTGGTAGTTGTTCACCCCATCATCAGCTCACCTCTCCAGTTCACACCGTCGGTTGGTACTGAATGTCGACCGGTTCCTGTACACCTGAACCGTCAGTTTTGGTCTTTTGTTTAAGCTATGTTCTTATTGTCTACTATTTATGTACCTCTCCTAAAACGCCTTTATCCTCTCTGTACTTTTGTCTTTCTTTAAATATCTTTGTCTTCCCCTAAGAACCTCCCTTTTTCCCCTAAATACCTTCATCTCCCCCTTAAATGTCTCTCTGTCACTTCCTGTCTGTGTGGTGAGGCAGCGATGACCGGGTGGACTGCGGCGGCTTCATGAGACAGTGGCGGGAGAACCAGGGTCGGTGTGGGGTGTGTGGGGACCCTTGGGACCTGCCTCGCCCACGCCCTCACGAGACCCGCGGGATGTACGGTCGTGGTACCATCGTCAGGAACTACACCCAGGGCCAGGTACGTCACCCCCCGTCCCTCGACAGGTAAGACGATTGATATTGAGACAGTTTATTTAAGCAGAAAGTACATATACAAAAGTAAACAACAATACTGACGTAGTTAAGCATGATAAAGGTGTCAATATAAATTATCTAATGCAATAAAGTAATGAATTTGACATAAATACGTATGTGATCAATAAAGTAAGTATAGATAACATAAAGGATTCAAACGTTTATATTTTTTGGCTAGATGGCTTCTAGTTATTTTCCTGTTTAATTATGCAATAGATTTTAAAACAATTTATTTCATTCTAAGGACAAAAAAAGCTCCTTGTCCACCAAATGCCGCCATTATTTTGTTTTCTATGTTTTGTTTTTGTTTGTTCCTAGATTTTATTTGTTATGGGTGGTGGAACAGCACTACCCTCTTTGTTGACAGTCCCTCCCCACCTAGTAAGAGTGTTCGTCTATCATATAACTTGTGGGGGGTCTCTCTCTCTCTCTCTCTCTCTCTCTCTCTCTCTCTCTCTCTCTCTCTCTCTCACCAGTGCAGCAACAGTTGGCAGTTGCACAAGCCACGAACCCCATTAGTTGGTAAGTGTTGGCTCAGAGGACAGTGGAAAATACCTCTCTCTCTCTCTCTCTCTCTCTCTCTCTCTCTCTCTCTCTCTCTCTCTCTCTCTCTCTCTCTCTCTCTTTCTCAAGGCACAGCTCCAAGTTGTGGGGGAGACGCTGGGATGTCCATGAACTTGTGGCAAAAAATGGCATCACTTAAAGATTTGTCCCCTAGTTTATTTCTCTTGATTAAAAACGCCCTGACGCTCCCGGGGATTGGGTTAGGCTAGCGTTAGATTAGGTTAAGTTAGATTAGGTTAAGTTAGGTTTAGCATTAGAGTGTTTAATCATCAGGTAGAATAAATTTGGAGTGCTATTCTTCATGTGATGTAATGGAGGTGAGTTTTATGTCAGAAATAAACTGGTGTTGTCATCCGTTCTGTTTCTTAGATTCCGTTTACATTCTTTCCTCCACTGATGTGTCTCGGTGGGGTTGCAGGTGGTGGAGTGGGTGAGTGAATTGACTGATGGAGGGAGTGGATGGATGGAGTACCGGGTGTGTCCTCGAGCTAACGTGTGGAGGACTGAGGATCCCAGCTGCTTCAACCATACACTACAGGTCTGACGCCACACTCATGTAAACACAGTGCACTAAAATACAGAACAGGACACTTGAGTCACTTTATTCATTGTGAGTCATAGGGAACACTTCAACAGTTAATTATTGGTCTCTATTATTGATCACTTAACTGCTGCTGGCTTGATCCGTGCGTAACATACACCCCCTCCCCAGTGATAAGACTCCCGCCAATGAGACACCTGAACTCGCCAGCCATAACGTCACCTCTTCCGGTAACTTACCTCACAATATCAACTCTTCATTAGTTCGTATTATTTACTTCTCATATTCATCTTTATACCTGGCCAGTTGTAACACAACCAAGTTTAATAAGCAGGTGTTGACCCAATAACACAGACGTTCGATATGTAGCTAATACCTGTGCCACACACACACACACACACACACACACACACACACACACACACACACCTGGTAAAGCACTTCACACCATACAGGTAGTCTTAATCACCTGAGTCATACCGATCTTAGTATAAGTCTTGCGGTGTAAGACTCGGCTGGCTGGTTACCTCAGTTCCCAGTCAAGTGAAGTGGAGATTGTTCTCACCGAAAACAAAAAATTCTTTATAATCCGGTAAAGTTCACGTTGTTGCCCTTGAATATTAATAACTGCCTGAGGGGAAGATGTTGAAACAATATGAATGTTTTATAACCACAACTGTCACTGCCTGGCCCGCCTACATGTTTACACCTCTTGAGTATAGTATAGTACAAGTGATCGTGGGCTCTTCGTGCCCGGTGGCGAGTCCGGTGGTACAGTTTACCTTGGCGTGAAAGTTCGAATGCTCGTGCTTGGCTAGCGCGCAACACCCGTCCAGCTGACAGCGTACAGCGACATCGTTTTCCAGATGGTCGTGGTTGTTATAATCATGGTCGTGGTTGTTATAATCATGGTCGTGGTTGTTATAATCATGGTCGTGGTTGTTATAATCATAGTCGTGGTTGTTATAATCATGGTCGTGGTTGTTATAATCATGCTCGTGGTTGTTATAATCATGGTCGTGGTTGTTATAATCATGGTCGTGGTTGTTTATAATCATAGTCGTGGTTGTTATAATCATGGTCATGGTTGTTATAATCATGGTCGTGGTTGATATAATCATGGTCGTGGTTGTTATAATCATGGTCGTGGTTGATATAATTATATTCGTGGTTGTTATAATCATGGTCGTGATTGTTACAATAAGGGTCGTACCTGAGACTAACACAGGTAGAATAAACCCCAGACCTGATCTTTAATCTCAATAAACCCAGATTAACCTCACCTAATCAACAGGATTAGAGACCATTAGGATTGTACGACCAATACCGATACATTTCACACTGGATTAATAACATAACATTTAATCACATTTCCAATAGCTAATGTCTTACGGATATCTTATGAAGTTGTGAGTCTTACATGTCTATATAATTATGTTTTATTCTTACAAATATTCATAGTTCGCTGTGTATTGTGTTGTATGGTATGGTATTGTATCCGGCTGACAGCGTACAGCGAATGCGGGTGCTGCAAGTCCGTAGACTTGCATGGTTAATTAGGGTGCGCCAAGTCCGTAGACTTGCATCGTTTTCCATCGTAAATAAAATGGTTAATTAATGCCTTCCTAAAGAAACCATCGACATGAGACCAGGTTTGTTCCACTCTACGAAATTTTTTTGCGATTTGTCCACCAAGTCTGATGAAAAACGATTGTGCCGTTTCGGCTACCCAGAACAGACAGACAGACAGACAGCTAGTCATATAGTAAATTAAATATTAGGTCTGTCAACATCCGCGACCTTGGCTGTTGGGAGCTTGGTACCTGGTGCTCAGATATCTAGGTTATGTGTGTGTGTGTGTGTGTGATAAACAAGAGTACTTGTGCTGTGCAGCAGAACAGAACGCACGTGACCTCCAGGTATAAAGGCCGGTTGATGAAGCAAACATGGCCTCTCACCCTCACGATCACCTCCACACATGGCCCAGATATGATGAGGCTCCGTGTACAGAATTGTTCAGTCTCCTCTTAAGTTATGTCGCAACGTAAGAAAACAACATCAATGCGTTCCTTATGATCTACTGTAGTTCTCAAGAAGTAGACATATTCTTGATTTAAAGACATTTTAGATATCCACAGTTGACAAACATCCTCACACAGTTCATATTCTATAACGACAAGATGTTAAGTAAGGAAGTAAAAGTAAGGTAGAGTAAATTTTATCCAGTGAATGCAGTAATTTCCCGTTTTCTTCCCCAGGACAACAATGGCAGGACTCAGCTGCCCGTCAACGTGACTGCGAAGTTAAGTCGGATTACACACACCTTCCGCCTCCCTCCACACCTCTCCTGCCTCGCCTGTGTTGTTCAGGTGAGTGAGCGCCCGTTTATGCCTCCACCCGGCGCCATTATGTCTCAAGCACTTCCAGTAATGAGCAGTTGTTCTCTCAGAGCTTTCCATAAACTATTTCAGCGTTGTTCAGCCTGTGAGTCCATCAAGTATATGACGCTATTCACGTTGTCATTTTCTTCCACATAACACCCTATGTGATCCTTTAGAGTCTTGTCTTATTGTTAATGTTTGTGAAGTGTTTTGTTGTTAATACTGAATAATGATATGTTTCTGCAGCATAATACATGAATTTGTTTCCCATTACGCATTAATGTTTTCTCAGATATAATGAAATACGAGTTACTGTACTAGTGATATATATATATATATATATATATATATATATATATATATATATATATATATATATATATATATATATATATATATATATATATATATATATATATATATATATATATTCCTCGCTTTCGTGTAATTCACATCTTCAGGGTGAGTACAGACTGTACTCATAATATATATTATCATACCTAGATCATACCTACAGTGATTTACTTGCATATATATATATATATATATATATATATATATATATATATATATATATATATATATATATATATATATATATATATATATATTTATATTTATATATATATATATTTTTTTTTTATCACTTGAAAATTAGACACCTCAGCTTTTATTTCACCTAATGAGTAAACGCCTTAACCTAACCTGTAACCGCCCAGTTATTGTTAGGGGGTTTAGCCATCAAGCGAAATAAACGAAGGTGTCTAAACTCCAGGTGATCTCTATATTTATTGATGTATAAGTTAATTACTAAACTTCCATTCATCTCTGAACTGTGTTGGATCAGTGGCGGTACGTGAGGATTGGAAGACCAAATCGAGCAGACTACCGGGCGTGTGCTGACGTCATTATCACCCCCACCAACACCTCACACACTACACCACCTCCTCCATCACTTGACAACTCAGCAGCTGCCTCACGGAATCTGGCCGCCACCGCCTCGACCACAACTCCTACGGGCCGAGAAACTGAGACGACCAACACTCCTACGCCACAAACAACTGATAAAAACGCCTGCGCTCACTCACAAATGTCACCAGAGACCAAGTGTAGTACCTCCTGGACACCACCACCACCACCCACTACCGTCGCCAGCCACGTCAACAAAGGAATTGACGCTGACGGTGGTGACCAATACGGAGGAGGTGGTGGTGGTGGTGGCGTCTTGTCAGGTCGTCTTGGCTCGGTGGTGGTGTTGGTGTCTATGTTCATGAATGTTGTTATTGTGTGATGTACAAAACTTATATTAACCCTTTGATGATTTAACCCGGTGACGACGATGGTTTGACCCTTTGATGACTATGATTTAACTCTGATGACGATGGTTTGACCCTTTGATGACTGTGATTGAACCCTTTGATGACTATGATTTAACCCTTTGATGACGATGATTTAATTCTTTTGGTGATGATTTACCCCTTCAGGACTCAAAGAATGGTCAAGCACTCGTTTGGTTTACCTAACACAAAGATGGACCACACTTCATGACAACAGCAAAGATATTAATATATGCTTAATTAAAAATATATTTTACCACATGTAATATAATCGTGATGGAGATGGGACATAATAGTCAGTCTTGTTATAGATCCCTGTCTTTAGGATAACAGCACCAGATCTTGAAATAAAATTGTCATGTTTTTAATATTTTGAGATGAATGTTTTCATTCATCCAAACACTGAACCATACTTTTTTTTTACTTTTAGCCTCTTCACTGATCGGCTCGTTAGCCGCTTGGGCGATCGGTCACGTCTCTGTTACACACTGTTGACAAGTACTGGGCATGCACCGGCTCCTGAATGTATCGGAACCTGCTCCAGTGCTTGTCAAGTCTGGTCTTGAAACAGCTCACACTCGGTGCCGTCGCAACACTCCAGCAGATTGTTCCAAGAGTTCAGAACTTTTACTCCGAAAAAGTTACCCCTTACAGTTTGCTGGACTTGCGACTTCTTCAACCTGAGCTGTGACCCCTTGTGGGCCGAGCGTCCGCCAGCTCTAGGTAAGGACACTCGACCGAGTAGTGCCCTTTGAGATGTTTATACACCTCAATTAGGTCGCCCCCTTGCCCGTCTGTAGTAGAAGCTTGGCTAGTTCAGGCGCTCTAATCTCTCAGGATAGCTGAGGTGCCGAAATGCAGGCACCAGTCTGGTGGCCCTCCTTTGGACATAACCCTCCCGAACCTGAGTACTGTTGTGGAAGGTCTCAAGGTATACCTGCATTGTTTATATACATGCTGAACTGTATACCTGTATTGTCTACAGTATATACATACTGAACTGTATACCTGTATTGTCTATATACATGCTGAATCTATGTATGGTTATATAATGATTTTACTGTAAATCTATCTATCTATACATCTATCCGCTGTACATGATGAAAAGAGCTTAATCTATCAACGAGTAGTCACTGACGGTTCTTAATTGCATTCCTTTCATAAGTTTACAAGAATGTCGTGTGTGGCGTCGTGAGCTGCAGGGAGAAGTGGAAGGAGGGAAGGGATGGGGGGGTAAGGGATGGAAAGATAGGGGTAGTGAGGGAGGGAGATGGTTAGAGTAAAGGAAATATAATCTTGGTAGTTAATTTCGCTGGTCTTCCTCTTCCTCACCTGTGATAATAACACCTCCCTGACTCACTCACTCCTTCAGATAAATCGTAAATAATAATAGTGGTCAAGTTTATGTAACAGTATTGATACATAATTCTAGATTCAAATAATTCCGAGGAAAAAAGTCATGATTTTGTTTTTATGTCTTAGTATTGCTGCATAATTCCAGTTTATGTATAAGTATAGTACAGTCATTTCTAGTGTGGAGTCTTACCTTAATATAGACACACGTAAGAGCATTTCCCTCACAACACCCTCCAGCAGGTACAGCATAATATCTCACCAGCTCTCTCTATATATATATCCACAATATTCGTCCCCTGGGAATCTAATATATGTAAGGCGATCCTCGGCTCCTCAAAGGCTTTCCCCTCATCGCAATATCTAAACCAATTTTTCTCCTCACTGCCAACGAATGACTTTACGTGGTCTGGCGTTTGGTATTCTCTCTCTCTTTCTCTCTCTCTCTCTCTCTCTCTCTCTCTTTATACGTTCTCTTGGGTATATTTTGCCAGACACCTGTATGACGTTTGGTGACTTATTACCCAAACAGACAGGCAGACAGACGTTCAAACAAACATATTCTCACTTCACAACAACATCGTGACTTACAACAGGTGTGAGAGTGAGAAGGAGTAGCACCACCACCACCACCACCAGACAGGTATGTATTGACGTTTGTACCTTGACCAGATGACGACAGGTTGTAGTTGCAGTTTGTTGTATAAGGATCAACTGGACTGTGTGTTGATGTTTCTGAGGCAAGACGATGATGACTTGAAGGTAATAGAATGATAATATGGAGGAGGCGAAGATATAGTACTAGTAAAGAGGAGGAATAGGAGAATAACACCTCTCTCTCTCTCTCTCTCTCTCTCTCTCTCTCTCTCTTTCTCTCTCTCTCTCTCTCTCTCTCTCTTACCTGTGAAGATGTTTTGTGAACGAGTTGACAAATTATTTACTTGTTTTATGGTAATTCAGAGGTTTTACGTGATGCCAACAGACTAAGAGAAATTGAATAAAGAAACTTATGGTTTATTAAAGACGTGATGAAGGGCGATAGGAGCATTATATTAATATAGTGAAACCTCCATATAACGGACTTCTATCTCCATATAATCCGTTAAATGCGGGGTTTTGCATCTAATAGACTCTCGATATAACGGACTTTTATCTCTATATAATTCTTTAAATAGAGGTCTACACTAAGAAATTTCTAATATGATTGTTTGAATTTTTTTAGAACCCAACTTAGCCGCGTAGTATTAGTGCTCACTTGAAGCTCGTTAGAGATTTGACCCTAGTTAAGGTAGAATGGCCTTATAACCAATTACTGTATGGGTTAGGGTAGCATCGTAATTATAGTATTAATAACAACTTCCTCCTCAGGTGCACTCTGTAATTATAACTAGACAAAAAGATTATTTATAACTAGACAAAAAGATTATTTATAGTAACTAGACAAAAAGATGGATTTATAACTAGACAAAGAGTTATATCTAAAATATGGTTATCATTGATCTCAAGACACAACAGATATACAAGACACTCACACCAGCATTCATACAGTCATAAACCACAATAACGGAACTGGTCGAGTGTCAGTAGACCGCAGGGGAAGAAGCTCTGGTGGCGAGGAGGTGAACTAAGGAGGAAGCCCTGGTGGCGAGGAGGTGAACTAAGGAGGAAGCCCTGGTGGCGAGGAGGTGAACTAAGGAGGAAGCTCTGGTGGCGAGGAGGTGAACTAAGGAGGAAGCTCTGGTGGCGAGGAGGTGAACTAAGGAGGAAGCCCTGGTGGCGAGGAGGTGAACTAAGGAGGAAGCTCTGGTGGCGAGTAGGTGATCTAAGAAGGAAGCTCTGGTGGCGAAGGTGAACTAAGGAGGAAACTGGTGGCAAGGAGGTGAACTAACTCATTAAACGTCAACACGTGAGAGATTTTAAGTCTAAGCCACACGCAAGGTTGATCGGAGGACCTACCTTATACTGCCTCACTTCCTACGTTTTATCCTGGACAAAAGCTTTATACCTGCATGTCCTGATCTACGTATGTTTATACCGTAATTATGTTATATTTTGGGTCTAGGAAGGGCTTTTACCTCATCCCTCTGTTTATATGGTTTTGTCAGGGTCTAAAACAAGCAATCTACGGGGGTAAATGATTAATTACAGTTTAACTTTACTTCTCTGTGTGTCTATATCATGGTCTGCCCAGTGCTTGCTCAGGCGTCTCTCGAAGGCCCAATACGTCTGACACTAGGGTCAAGATTGGAAGATAATATAAACAATAATATCCCTTAATTAGTAAGTGAACGTATTTAACTAGAGTCTCGGTGTAATTCGGATGCCAATTTTGAGATCATTTTCCATTCTATATCAAGTCACTCAATTATGTGCTTTCCTATACAGTGTCGTTGAAAAAGATTACCCAGATTCTAACACCTACCTGACACTAACCTAACAATAATCTAACCTAACCTAGCACTAAACTAATACTAACACGTACCTAACCTAATCTGGCCTGACCTGACACTACTCTAACACTAACCTAACACAAACCTAACCTAACACTAACCTAACCTAACACTAATCTAACACTAACCTAACCTAACACTGATCTAACATTAACCACACCTAAACCTAACCTAACACTAACCTAACCTAACACTAACCTAACCTAATCCCATACTCCCAAATAGCGTTAGGGTGATTAATCTTTAGGAGAGGTAAGCTGGGATGGAGAGTCTTTAAGTAATTCCCGACCCGTCCTGCTACCACCCTACTATCATCATCACTACTACTACCACCATCACCACCACTATTGCCATCACTATCACTACTACCACCCTACTATCATCATCACTACTACTACCACCATCACCACCACTATTGCCATCACTATCACTACCACCACCATCACCACCACTAGTGCCATCACTGTCACTACCACTACCACCATCACCACCACTATTGCCATCACTATCACTACCACCACCATCACCACCACTATTGCCATCACTGTCACTACCACTACCACCATCACCACCACAATTGCCATCACCTATCACTATTATTGCCATCACCACTACTACTACCATCACACCATCACCACCACTATTGCCATCACTATCACTACTACCACCATCACCACCACCATCACCACCACTATTGCCATCACTATCACTACCACCATCACCACCACTATTGCCATCAACTACTACCACCACCATTATCACATCCTACCTCACCACACCACTATCACTACTACCACCAGCACCATACACCACCACGCCATCACCACCTACCACCACTAACACATCACTACTACCACCAGCAGCATCACTACACTACTACTACTACCAGCCATCACTATCACTACTACCACTCATCGCTACCACCATGAGCAACACTATCACCATCACCACCTCCAATTAACTGAACAGCCACGTTGGTCACCTTCAAGCACCTGGCGGTAAAAGGAAGAGGCGAAGGAAAGGAAGGCAACATAATAAACAAAGAAGAGAAATGGAAAAGATATTGAAAAGTAGAACAGAATGACGAGGATAAGGAGAACGTGGATAATGGAAGGAAGAAGGATAAGAAAAATACATAATTAATATTTGAGGCAATAGAATGAGGATTAAATTATGATTAAGAAATATAAATATATATGATAGTGAAAAATGGTAGAATGTGATAAAAATGAGTTGAAAAAGGTCGAGGGAAGGAAGAAAGAAAGATAACATATAGACTTGAAATGAGGACTAACTTTCCCACCTAAAACAGTTCAATGGACTTTCTTCAACAACCAAAACGTCCTACACTTATTTTAACATCCAAACATTACAATGAACATCCCTTAACATCTAAACATCGCCTTAGACTTACTTTTTCTACATACAACAGTTCAATAGACTCTCTTCAACAACTAACCATTGCCCTGGACATTTAATCTTCAATCGTAAACATCTTGCTGACGTCTTACAGAAGTCGCCCTAGTAAAGAGATTGTTTCACTCCAAATCTTTGTCAAAAAGTTTTCTCATAT